GAGAGAGAGAGAGATAGCCCAAATCACCAGCTACAGTGAGTGAGTGAGCGAGAGAGAACCAATATCGTCCGATGGCAGTTTTCCTAAACTTGTGTGATGAAGACACAGGAAAGAGCTTCACAGCCCATCTCAACAAAGCTCTCATTGATTCTGCTATCTCCACCTTCTTCTTTTCACCCACACAACAACTACCCACTACTATACAGAGAGCAATTGAACGGTGCGAGGTGTTTATACCTATCTTTTCCCCCCCTCTTTCTTCTGCCTTGACCAGCTCTCTTATTTACTGAGCTTGCCGAGGGCGACGCTTGTCCTTCCTGTGTTTTATGATGTGGAGCTTTCTCATGTTCGCTGGCAAAAGGGGCCTTTCGATGGAGCTTTTGTGGATCACCAAAATAAGAATGGGATTGATGAGGCGACGATGCAGAGGTGGAGAAATGCTTTGAAAGATATTGCCGATCTTCCCGGTTGGGAAATGAAGAATTACAGGTATAACCAAAATAGGTCATTCTCTGTCTCTGATTGTTGCGATCAAGAACTCCATAGAAAGTAAGTATAAAGTGTAGATCCACTTGTATTACTATTTTCAGGTCCTCTAATGATATTCACCATTTATTTGGCTTTTACCTTTAAATATCCTTTGGATATCCCATGGAAAATATTAAGGGGTCTAAGGCATTTTAATTTGTTCATCTAATTATTTTTATAGATATCTAAAATGCACCCTGATATACTCCTTAGACTTCTTGTGCATGAAATACTTCTTTGTACTTAAATATATCATTCTTATTAGCTGGCCCATTTTCTTTGGGTCTGTTGCATCTCTAATATTTTCTTTATCTACCACTGAAAAGAACCTGTTCAATTTTTATTTTATTTTTTTAAAATTCCCTAACGAGGAAGGATATTGGTTATATATATAATATGTCAACTTTGCTGCAAAAATATTAAAATCGTTTCATTTTTTGTTTTGGTAACCAGCCCCCCTCCCTTTTATTTTTCTTCCACGTTGGAAAAAAAAAAGTACCAAAAAGTTCAGTCTGAAATTGAGCTCGAGACCTCTTACAGTAAGAGGCACGCAAGGGTGGTAAAATAACTGATACGCCACTTTATGTTTCATGTAATTATATTGGAGATCATATAATACATATTATATTTTTTACCGTAATTTTATTTTTTTACTTGGCGTGGTCTCGGGCGAGTTACCTTGGCCCGAGTCGAGTCCCAAAATACTGATTTTCTTTATGATTATTACTCGGAAACCTTAATGACTTTCAAAAAATTTCACCATTTCAATGATATTTTTTTCCCTGCTTTCTAGAGAAGACTATTTGCTTGCGCACCTCATCGTTTTTCTAAAATGGTTTTACTGTTTTAAACATTTGATGATATGTTATTTTTTTCCTTTTCCAAAAGAACGTGCTCTTATATTTTTCTACTAAACAATATATTCTTTTTTTCTTCTTTTAAATAAAAGAAAATTGTTTCATGCGGAGCATAAAGAGGTTTAAATCATCCATCTAAAAATGGATGTATAGGTGGCCCATCAAAAAACAATGGTAACTAATGATGTAAATGTTTGTTTCATATAATTATTATTTCTAGTCTTCAAAATTTTTTTTGGTGCGGTTTGTACAGAGCCTAAGCTCTAAGCAATCAAATTAGAGCGTACCTTCAAATTGTGTCGAGAAATGTGGTTTCAATACTAGAAATCTTAGTGATAGCTTTATTTATAAAATTTAAAGCAGTGTTCACAAAACCGGCCGATCTAACCACTAACTGTCCGGTTAGATCGGAACCGGCCAGCCGCCGATTCCAGTTTTGGGCAGCTTTGGTGATCAACCTGTATTTTGAACTTTAAATAGAATACTGCTTTAAATTCACATCAAATGTGTTCAAATGATTATTAGTTAGCATTTAGGGTTATTTCTTAAATGAATCAAGGTTCAAATCTTGCCGACAACATCCTTTATTATTAAATCTTATTAGATCCACTAACCAATACATCCTTTATTATTAAATCTTATTAGATCTAGTAACCAATACTAATACATCCTTTATTATTAAATCTTATTAGATCCACTAACCAATACTAGTTAACCATTTATTAGTTAGTTGACAAAAAGAAGGGCCTACATTATATATAACTTAATTTTTTCTTTATTTTCTTTTAAGAAAAAGAGTTCATCAAGTTGATTTTTTAACATTGAGAATCACTTTTATATTTTCCCATCTTTTTTATAAAATTTTAAAAATACCCCTGGGCACAAATCGATTTGTTAAAATCAATTTTTTCATTAATTTTCAAATTCATTTGAGTATGTTTTGTTTTAATCACATTCTTTATATACTTTTTATATTTTAGTAGATTTTTTGTGTCTTTTTTAGTTTTTTCAACACTTTTTTTATCGTTCGGGACTTGTTCGGTTAGAGCAGCTGAATCGACCTGTTTACTGGTTAGGTCGATTAAATTGCTTCTGGGCCCATGCCCAATTAACCGTTTCGGTTCGAAGCGTAAAAAATAGTGTAAATCATTAGATTTATGGAAATTTTAAAATCTTGAAAATCGACTGTCAAAAAATGCGTTATAAAGTACTTTATTCAAAACTTGAAATCCATTTTTTTTCTTCATGTCTATGCATCTTGATGTCAAGATGACCAATTTGAGGATATTTGGTCATCAAAACAACCTATTCTAGTGAAATTTTTGATGTAGGCTCAAATTTGATTGTTTAGAGCCTCGGCTCTATATAATCTTTTCCCTTTTTTTTTTCTTTCTCATATTCATGATCTCCATGTTAAAGATTATATATTCTCTAAAAATTAGGATCAAATTATATTGGGTGCAGTTTGTATAAGCCGAGACTCTAAACAATCAAAGTAAAGCACACCTTCAAATAGTGTCGAGAAATGTGGTTTCAATATTAGAAATCTTTGTAATAGCCTTAAAATATATTTTCATCTTTAAATATAAAATTTAAATCTTTAAAAATAGTGTAGATCAATTAGAACTATGAAAAGTAGAAAATCGTGAAAAATTGACGGTCCAAAAATATGTTACAAGAGGGACTATTTCAAATCCATTTTTTTCTCATGTCATACATCTTGATGTCGAGATGATCAATTTGAGAACATTTGGGCATCAAAACAACCTCTTCTAGTGAAATTTTGAGGTGGGTTCTAATCTGATTGTTTAGGGCCCCCGCATATGTAGAAATGTGGGCATCTTAATAAATTTATTTTTGAGATGGATTTTAAGACTTAATTTTTAAGGACATGTAATCTCTGACATGGAGATAATGAATATGAAAAAATAAATAAATTCTAAAACCTAGAAATAATAATTCTAATAAGAAAACATTTGGACCTTTAGTTTCCATTGTTTTTAAATGGAATACCTACGTGCATCCATCTTTTTTTTTTTTTGTAAGATAGTGAGGGAGAAGGCCTCTTACTTGTTTTTCATTAATAAGTAAGAAATAGAAAGTTTACAGCTCATTACCGTATAACCTTAAAACAGGGCACCTGTGCCAAATCCTGAGTTAAAAAGCAAGGCAAATAAAATTCGACGGACGAGAACGTCAAACAGTAGCTCCTTGATAAGATGTAGCCCTCTTTGCAAGAATATCAGCTGCCATATTGGCTTCACGAAAAATGTGGAAAATGGACCACCCACACTTAGAGAGACGTTGTCGACAATTTACTGCCACTATAAGTAACTTCCATGGAGGTCGGAAGCGTTCATGAATAACATTAATGAGCAATGCTAAGTCACTTTCAATCTGAATAGGGTGGTACTGTAGTTGATAAGCTAGGATTAATCTTTCTTCAAGAGTGTAAAATTCCACATAATTATTGCAGGCGATTCCAAAAGGTTTGGCAAATACTGCAATAACAGCACTGTCAAACTTCTTAATAACACCACCCCCTGCTTGGCCTGGGTTATGCAAGGAAACCCCATCAATATTTATCTTGAAGTGATTAGGGCTAGGAAATGACTATGCCATTGGAATAGTAATTTTAACCTCTGCTGATACATTTGAACTGTAAGTTATCAATGATCGCCTTCTCTGACAAATGAAATGTCCAGGATTTAGGATTTTAACTCCCAAACATGAGAAATGATATGTTTGACTAATTGTTCCCTTCTAGTCAACTTATCCTGGAAACCTCTCAGGTTGCGTTCTACCTATAAGAACCATGTAGTTGTGAAGAATAAAGAAGTCCATATGTTGAAGAAACCGTTTGATTTGAATCTGAATGATAACAATTTTCTAAGCATCATAGGAATAGAAATCCAGAGATGAAGCGTTTGCCGCATCGCCAGGCAACTGACATCCATATAGCCTAGGAAAAGTCACAAAGAAATAGTAGATGACATAAACTATCATCACTATTTTTGCAAAAGGGGCATACACTGACTTGCATCCATCTTTAAGATGGTTGCTATACACTTTCTGGACCGCATATGTAGAAATGCCATCTAACCTGCGTGAAACAATTTTCCTTTACCATTGGTATAGGGAAGTCACAATTACTTGTAACCAACTTATTTGAAATCTGATAACTTGGGTTTGTCACCAAGTTCGAGAAATTTTTTTTTGAACTTTGAGCCTGGTCAATGAAATAAATGTAGCCACCCAATTCACATCCAATAGTCATTTTTAATTGTGACCACCTTGTACCAAGATAATTCTATAATTTCCCTATAAGTAATGATCTAATACGACCCTCGCACATATTGAGTTCGTGGGACCCCAATAATTGACTATTGGATCTCACTTGCTTTGAGATTCGGATAAAGGTGAGAAGGTTTGACCAAGGTTAGCAGGTAAAAATACCCCAAGAATATTTCTCGAACTCATTTTCCTTTTGTGACTCCGTTTCTCTCTGTCCTTTATGTACTGACTCTTATTTCCTCTCTCTCTCTGCTAGTCTGAACCTCTTCTTTCTTCATCTACTTTCCTTCCCCTTAATTTTTCTACTGCCTTCCATCTCCTCTATCTCACTACCCTCCCCCACATAATTTCTCTCCCTCTTTCATTTCTCTCTCTCTTTCTCTCTCTCTCTCTCTCTCTCTCTCTCCTATTCTCTCCCTCCAGCCAAGTAATCTATTATAATTTCTCTTATTTTTATCTGCATCCTCAATAGATGGAGAGAGAGAGATTCAATGGGCTGAAGATTAAGGGTTTTTCAAATCTACAATCTTCAGGTTGGTTTGTGGAGCGAGAGAGAGAGGCTGGTTCAATGGGCTGAAGATTAAGGGGTTTCCAAATCCCCAATCCTAAGGCTGTTGTGTGTGGAGAGAGAGAGAGAGCAATTGATACGATGGGCTAAGGATTGGTAGCCTTCAAATCCCAAAATCCTAATATTAATCTATAGAGTGTGTTAGGTACCTAACCAATATGCCCCAAAACCCTTCGATGATGGAAACACGTAAAGTTAGGCCCTTAAACCACCTAGGATCGTTACATACCACCATGCTCCGCAGTTGACGTCCTCAGCGACTCTCACTCTATTGTGGCTCTCACTCCCTAGGATTTGAACTTGGGTCGCAGTGGTTGCTCTGATACCAAATGTTAGGTACTTAACCAATATGCCCCAAAACCTTTGGGTGATGGAAACGCGAAAAGTTAAGCCCTTAAACCACTAGAATCGTTACAAAGTGAGAGACTGGGGCAAGAGATTGATTCAACGGGGGGTTCAGGGGCTTCTGTTCCCCTAATCCTACCATTTGTGGAGAGAGAAGAGAGATTCAGAATGAAGATTCAAGGGTCTCCAAAACCCTAATTCTTGTGTTGGCGTGTATCATGTAGTGCAGTCGTTGTAGCCCATTCCCAGCATAGAGACTTAAACTATCTACCTCACAAGACACAAATAGGACTGCGGAGAGAGACAAAGTACGGAAGAAGATGTACATTATGAGTGAAAAATAAAGATAGAGTGAGAGAGAAGTCATATACAAGAAGGCAGCTGAAAGTGAGAGATTTAATCACAAATGAGCAGGTTTAGAGAGAGAAAGAGAAAAAGGGCAATTTGAGTGAAGATGTGGGAACATGAAGAGAGATAGAGAGGAGATGAAAACTTGTAAAAAGAGAAGGGGTTAATCCATGTTTTGCCGCGAAACTGTTTACCCCTTCTCGTCTTTACCAAAATCTTAACTTGGGTAAAATCTAAAGCCCCAGTTATCATTGAAACCATATATGCAATTAAGAGCCCATCTCCATCTCTAAGTTGATCTCTTCTTTCTCTTTTTAAAGACCAATCCATTCTCTCTCAACAACAACTGGCACATGAAATCGAGAACGGTATGGGGCCTTGGCGGTAGTATTGTCAAGCCCCATGATGAGGTCTCTGACTCCATTCTCATCAATGCGTAGGGGCCCAAATCCCCACTGACTTACTACTTTTCTGAGAATGACTTCGGTCTTGGTGGTAGTATTGCTGAGCTCCATGGTTAGTCTCTGACTCCATTCTCACCGAAGGGTTGGGGCCAAATCCCCACTAGCTTGCCACTTACTCACTCAAAAAAAACTGCCATATGAAATAATAGAAAGAGGTTTATAGGAAAGAAAAGATAACATGTTTAACAGGCCACTCCACACGTATCTCGAGAACCTACACGATTATGGGCAAAACGCCTATAGGTGATGTTCTATTGTACTTGACCTATGGCTTTATCATCGTCTAAAGTTCATCGAATGATCATAAATGTCTTATAGTTTTTCAATTTTAATATTTTTTTAACTAATCATAATGATCTGAAATTTTGTAGGTGTGTGCGCCTTAGTGAGGCACACCTGAATAAAATAAAATAAACAAAGTTTAATGATAAAAATGACCTAAAATACCCCTATGAAGTTTTAGGATTATTTTTTTCATTTTATTTTATGACTATTATTTTTTATATTTTTTATTTTGGTATAAATTGGTCATATGTACACATGACCCAAATTTTAGATAAATCTAATGGATGAAAATATTATTAAAATTCAAATACTACCGGACAACTGTGATCGTGTGATAAACTATGGATGGTGATGAAGTGTAGGTGAAATATTGTAGAATTTCACCTATAGGCGTTTTGCAGTGTTTTCCTATATATATATATATATATATATATATAACATTTTGCGGTGGCTTGTCATTTGGTAGAGGAGGTTATGTAATTGAGATAAAAAAAAATACAGTTGTACACATCTTTCACTTGAAGGATCATATACCCCAAGGAGTATACAATAGTAGATGTTTTTTGTATAATATATTATATCATAGACTTGTCATTTGATTTTTTACAAGAATAGGTTAATAATACAAACTTAGTGGCCTTCTTATGAACCAAATCTCCCAGTGCATTTCTTGAGTGCTACATAGTTAATTTAATGTGCCATCAATTATCAACTTTTAAAGGCTACTTAGTGGCCTTCTATGTACTATGTTATTCACAACACACCTAAAGGTGGCGAGGGGGGCACGGCTCTGTGATGCCAAGAACTTTCGAATAGGAACGAAACTTTCGAATCGGAACGAAGTCAATCAGAGGTAGAGATTGGAGGTTTGTCAAATTATGATCCGAGATGGAAGTAGGCCTAAGAACGGTTCTCTGTCACATAACCTCAACAGTTACCGGCTCATGGGTCGGTGAGGCCACAAATTCGCAAACAGGAAGAAGTTTTTAAAATTCTAAAGCAAAGAAGGGGAAAGATTTAGGAAATAGTTTCAAATTAGGGAATTAGGGCTATAATATACTAAATACACAAATGAAAATCCATAGAAAAGAAAAAGAGGTGAATGTACTTGGAAACCGGGCCCACAGGCGTGGTACCCAAAGTTGGTGGTCTGGCTCAGATCCGAGATTGTGGCTCTGACCTCTTTCGCCTCTCAGAGCTCACCAAATGGGATGGAACAATGTTCAGATTGAATTGGTACTAACTTAGATTTAAATTGAATACTGCGCATAGGGTCTAAAGGAAGAGTCTAGGGTCCATGGGTGTAACCGAGAGTCTATGATTTGATTGGCTTGAGGTTCTATCTTAGCTGAGAATAAGATTTTAGAGATTCAAAGCAGGCTTAGGGGTCTGTAAGAGGGGAAATTAGGGTTCTTGGCTTTAGGGTTTCTAAAGTTGTATGTAAAGTGGCAGGGCTTCCCCTAATTCTCTAAAATCTAGGCCCCAATGTCATAGGTGAGGGTCTACAGTTGTAGGTTAAGACCTATATAACGGCTCCTACAAGGCGGTTCAATTTGAGTAGTTGATCACCCGCAAAACACTGTATTACGCTTGCATAAATAGGTGTTACGCAGACACGGTGGACACCACAATTTTACAGTTTTGCACCATTTGTCTTGTTATGTCCGTTGGGACGTTTCAACATGTGAATGATCCACTTTAGGTGCATTTGGGTGGTGGTAATGAATTTAAATTAGGAGTTTTAAATGTCATAAAGGTGGGGTCAAACTAAAGTTTAGTGGGGGTTATGGTGTTATTAAGGTTTGACCTTGGATTAAAGGTGTTGGCCCAAATTTAAGCTACTTTAGGAAAGTTTTAGGTGAATTTAGGCCATTTAGTTAGGTTTCAGCTTGTTTTTGAAGGTTTCAATGGAACTTAGGTCTAGCTAATTGCTTATTTAGGAAGGTTCAAGAGGGTTTAGTGCACTAAGCTGGTTGAACTAATTTAGTTGAGTTTTAGATGGGGAAGCTTTTTAACTTCTATGGTATGGGCCATGGTGTATGAAAATGATGGTCCTAGGGTGTATGGAAATTGTATGGTCCCTAGCTAGTTTTAGGCCAATAGATAGGTTCTCGGTGGGTCGAATTTCAAGGTTTTGGTTAGGGACAATCTATGAAAGGTTTAGTCCTATGCTCAAGTTTTTTAGGGTCTTGTATTTCTGGAACTCCTTCAGCCAATAACGGGGTGTCTACATATGCATTACAAAATAGATGAAATATATTTTCCTAACCAACCACCATCCAAATGTTAGAAATATTTAATGAAAGACACCTGTAACCAAAGTGATGTTTTACATATTGGTTTTTTTAGGGCACTCTTACACATGGAGTATATACTTAATGTACTCAATATTTTTGGACACTTGGTGCCTTTGATTTGTAATACAAAAATTTTTAAGCAAGGTTTTTTAGTCATGAGCAGGGGTAGAATGGATATTTCTATAAGAAACTAGTAATATTCTATTAGTGGTTAAAAAGCATGTAATGCTCCATATGGGTGATGTCGCACATCATGTTGGTGACATTATAGCAAGTCTCCGTTTAAAACATGAATTTTTTCAAAACATCTCTGATTTTTTAAAATCCGTTAGGAACTCCATGTGGGTGATGTCGTACATCATGTTGGTGACATTATTAGCAAGTCTCTGTTTAAAACATGATTTTTTTCAAAACATCTCTGATTTTTTAAAATCTGTTAAGAACTCCGAGTTTTTAAAAAGGTCTTCAAAAAATCATGTTTTTTTAATAGAACTGATATAAACCTGTATTTTATCTTTTTTCAAAAAACCTTTTCTTTATAACTTTATATTTTTTCATTAGCTTAATATTATTGAATTTTAACTTAAAGATAAGCACATTAAGGATCTTGATGTAGTGTAAAATTTCAACAAAAATTTCACCACTAATTTCCCTTTAAAAAAAACGTAAAACAAAATACAAGCAATGTGGTCCTAAAAAAATAAGATATCGAAACAATCATAAATCTCAAATTAATAGGTAGAGTTAGAAGAGAAACCCAATGAAAATCTTCGTCTTCTTTTTAACCCAAAGCTAGGAATTCAGTGTGAATTTCAAATATGGTTTAGCATTTTGTTGCTTTCTTTATGCATAGAGAAGTTTGATTCATTGCATATTTTTATTTTTTATCTTTTATTTCATTGGTGTATACAACGTAGCATTTTGGATGGATAACAATTTTACATATTTGGGTCTTTGTGTTTTGTTTTAGTTAATTGCAATCCTATAATGAGGGTCTTTTTTGTCTCTTTCTTTTGAACACTAATCCTATATGTTAGTTTACAGTTCTTGTTATTTACTAATATGGTTATTGTGTTAAGAATTATTGTCGTTGTTTCATTTTATGCGCCAAATAAATTTACGATATGTTTTGTGTTGTGATAACAAATAAGCATTGTTGATGGATTTTTTGAAAGTTTAGGCAATAAATTGTCAAGTCTTACTCTAACGACACTAGGTAAGGCTATAAAATTATTATTCAATGACTTTAATGTATCTACACAATAACTACAAATCATAAATCCTATATTATGTCATCTTTACACATCCGATTTTTTCACTCCGGTTTTTTGAGACAAATCTAAAATGTTCACGATTCCATAACATACCTTATTTTTTGGCGATCCGTACTTTTTACCGGATTTTTTTCTCTGACTTTTTGAAACAAAATTGGTTCATTACCGATATTTTGGTTCGTCGATTTATTATTATTCCCCGACTTGCTAACTATAGTTGGTGATGCCATTGTCCTCTATAGTTAATAAATGCTTTTGTTTCTATTAAGAATCTCTACTTTACCTTGACTAATTATTTGAAATACTCATTGACAGAAAGTCACTACATTATAGAGTAAGGGTATCAAGTGTCTAAAAATATTGAGTATAGTAAGTACCCTAACAAAACCCTATATATATATATATATATATATATATATCTTATTTGTCTAGCCCTATTTTGTTTCGTAACCTATTTTATTCAATATTTCTGTTGTGTCACTTGTATTTTGCTTAGAAAAAGAAGTTTTTTTTCCTAATGAGTAGGGATATTTTATATATAGGACTGAAGCACATTTGGTGGGCGACTTGTCAAGCATGTTTCTATGAAGTTGATTTGTGACACACCACTACATGTTGCCGCTCACCCTGTCGGGCTCAATCCTCGGGTTGATGATGTGATGAGACACTTAGAAATTGATGCTAATGATGTTCGAATGATTGGGATCCATGGAATGGGTGGCATTGGTAAGACCACTCTTGCTAAGGAAGTGTTCAACAAAATATGTTCCAAATTCCATGGCAGCTGTTTCCTCTCAGATGTTAGAGAGTCTTCAAAAACAAATGGGGTTGTCAACTTACAGAGACAACTTCTTAAGGAACTTTTGATGAAGTAGATTCAAGTATATATAATGCTGATAGAGGCATCAATGTTATTAAGAATAAGATTGGGTCGAAGAAAGTTCATGTTGTATTTGATGACATTGATGATGACAAACAACTTGAAAAATTGGCTGGTAACCGTGATTGGTATTGTCAAGGAAGTAGAATTATCATCACTACTAGGGATGAGCACGTGTTGAATGTGCATAATAGGGTAGATAGTAATCATGTCTACAAGCTCGAGGCATTGGATCACATACAATCCCTTGAACTCTTTAGTTGGTGTGCGTTCCAGAGGAATCAACCGATACCAGAATTCGTGCAACTCTCTAAGGATGTAATATCCATTGCTTGTGGGCTTCCCCTGGCTCTTGAAGTTTTGGGATGTTACTTATGTGACAAGTTAAACATTGAAGAGTGGGAAGAGGCAATACTGAATTTGAAAAGAATTCCCGCAAATGATGTTATGCGAAAGCTTAGAATAAGTTATGATGATTTGAGTGAAGAAGAGAAGCATATATTTCTTGATATTGCATGCTTCTTTATTGGAGAAAAAAGAGATTATACAATTCATATATGGAAAGGTTGTGGTTTTCCAGCTTCAATTTCTATAAAGAAGCTCTTGCAAAGGTTACTTGTAAAGATTAATGATTCGGATAGGTTGCAGATGCACGACCAACTTCGTGATACGGGGAGACGGATTGTTGAATTAGAAAACCTAGATAATCATGGAAAGCGTAGTAGGTTATGGTTTAGAGGAGATGTCATTACTGTGTTGAAGAATCACAAGGTGAGAAATTCCTAAACAAGCTCATTTTTCTCTTGTCAGAAAAATCCTTTAATAAGTTATTTGATTGGCAACGATTTTAAGTCTATTTGATCAACATGATAGAGTATGTACACTTGTTTTTTAACATCTTGTTGACAGGCTGACATTTACTTCTATTATCAATTAGGGAACTCCTAAGGTTCGAGGCCTAATGATCAGGGGGAATGAAGACGAGTATATTTGGGAAACTGAAGCATTTAAAGCAATGACCAATTTGAAGCTACTCGGTATCAGTCAAGCTTGTCTTAAAGGAAGCTTGAAAGATCTTTCATCAGAGTAAGTGTGGCTACAACTAGGGGAACATCCGTGGCAGTATCTCGCAGAAGATTGTAGCTGTGAAAGGCTAGCTGTCCTTGACTTCACAAACAGTAACACTGTGTTGAAGAGCAACATCAAGCAGGTGTGGAACTTATATTTAATGTCATCTCATGCCAATTTCGTTTTTTGTCCCTTGCATGTTTGAAACCTTTCGTGGAAGTTATTCTTCCTAATCCCAACCAACCAAGTATTTTTTTGCACAGCTCTTCCCGAAGTTGAAGGTCCTTGATCTTAATAGGTGCCGTATCTTAGAGAGAATTCCTGACTGTTCTCTATACATGAATTTGAAGCAGTTGATTCTTGAATATTGTGAAAACTTGATTGAGATTCCCGACTCCATAGGGCTTTTAAGGGATTTAGTTTATCTGAATCTTGAGGGATGTTCCAACCTCAAGAAACTGCCAGAAAACTTTGGAAAGCTTACAAGTTTAAGGACTCTCAATTTAAACTACAACTCCAATTTGACAAGGCTTCCATCTACTTTCTCCGGTCTTTGTTCCTTGGAGGAATTGTCCGCATGGGCTTGTTACCTGCAAGGGGTGATTGCTGATGACTTTGAAAAGTTGTCCAAATTGAAAAAGTTGGATCTCTACCGCAACAACAGTATCCAAGGCCTACCTAGGAGCATTAGGGGCCTTTCTCAATTAGAAGAGATGCGTATAAGTGTTTGTGCGCAGCTCATAACTATAGCTGAGCTCCCCAGTAGTTTGAAATGTCTAAATGCTAGCGACTGCTACGAGTTGCGAACCATGCCGGAGTTATCTCATCTTTCTCAACTAGAAGCTTTGTATTTAGCTAACTGTGAGCAGCTGATAGCTATTCCTGAGCTCCCCACCAGTTTAAAATATTTGGATGTTTCGGACTGTGTGAGCTATTGGGGATCTTTCCACCACTTTGAAATCTTTGAAGGCTTCCCACTGCTTATCTTTGCAAATTATACCGGACCTCTCTCACCTTTCTCAACTTGAAGAATTGGATCTCACAGGCTGTAAAGGATTGATTGAGATACAGGGCCTCAGTGGGTTGAAATCTTTGAAAACTTTGCAGTTGAATGGGTGCAGCCCTCATTCTTTGAGGGGTCAAGTGCTAGCAAAGGTATGTTACTTTGCCCAAAAAAACTATTGCTATTTGGTTTTCGAGTTACCTTTATGTATGACTGCTAATTATTTTTTCTTTTTATTGTTTTGTTTGTGCATATATATAGGAAATATTTGCAGGTTTAGAATGCTTAACAGTTCCTGGAAGCAAGGTTCCAAATTGGTCCCAGGATAAGTGGATTACGCAGGACAGCAGTGTGTTGTACCGAGTGTCGGGGGTTCCAGATGAAGGAAAATATATCAGAGGACTGATGCTGTGCTTTGCTACTCATTTGGTTGCACCCACAACAGCCATCTCGTGGACATATGGATGAAGAGCGAAAATTGTATGGCACAATTACTAACTCATCCAACCCAGCAAGATCAAATTTATTTTTACCATTTACGATCTGGCCAGACTGAAAATCTCCCCAGGCGGTTGAAAACTGGGGATGAAATCGTAGTTAGAATTATGAATGGACCAGCGTGGGTGAGATTTCCCTGCAATTTAATGACGGAGGTAGGATTCCATCCTGTATGGGAACCAGAAGATACCAAGGATTCCATTCGAGAAGATGGCGAGGATTCCATCCCTGAAAAGCTCGCAGAATTCTTCAATTCATTGTTTCTTCAATGACATTTTGCAGCAACAGAATTTCAAAGGTACGGATAATTTTTGGTTTAGATTGCCAAACTGTGTTCTCTTCTCATATAACAGATGGATTCACAAATGGCTTCAGTATCTGCTGCCTTCTTATCAATGGTTTTCAGTGAAATACATGCTTTTGTTTTGCCCCTTTCCATTCTTTTGATTCCCAAATGCATCCCCTAAATAAAATCGTGCTAAAAAAATTATCTTGAATCTCGACCAGCCCTGATTTATATTTGAACTGAAAAAATCAAGGTCTCTTTTTCTCCATGTGTGTGCTTGGGGACATGTCAGCTGTTATAGTTCTTTTATGGCTTGATATGGTTGAAGAGTTTTATAGATATCTGATTTTTTTTAAACATTTTTTTATGTTTTTTTTTGTATGGCATAAATTTGCCATGGGCTGTCATTTTTCATGATGGTTTTGGTTATTTCCTTGTTTAGATGGTGTGATTGAGAAAATTCAAGAGCACAATTTTGGTGAAAGTAAATCTTTAAAGGATTACCTTCTTTCATTTACGTGTCTTTTCTATTAGGTCAGAAATCAACATCTTACCTTTTGACAGAATAAAGGTCTCACCAACTATAAAAACTTTCCATAGCCTTCTGATAAAGCCGGTATTCCTCTCAGAAACCTCCTCATTCTAACCATGTTCTAAATGCTTTTATGAAATGTGTTCCTCTTGATTACGCCAAACACTTGTTTATTGAAATCTGTGAACCAAATCTGGTATCATTTTTCCCATCATTTAAGCTAATTCTCACTCTAACCAGCCCAAAAACTGCTTAATTCTACTAATCCATCTGTAAACTCTTGGCTTCTCACCATATGAATTTGGCTTCTCAACCCATTTGATGGCTTTTCAAATTAAAAGCTGCAAATCAAAGCATGTAAATTCACACACAGCTGATCATCCTGGAGGACGCAATTTTGCAAATCAAAGCATGAATTTGGCTTCTCAAGCCTTTTGATGGCTTTTCATACTCGTGGCTTCTAGTTCAGACCCATTTGTCCAAGCAACTGCAATTTTTTCCTATGCTGTTAAATTATTCTTGATGAAAATCTGTCATCCAGGAGCACTTGATGAAAAATCCAAAGTAGACAAAACTCCATGTCATCTTTGGCTGCCTGTCTTCCTTTTTGAAATTATGTGACTTGTAGCAAAATAACAGTAAGCTTTTGAATTTTTTTTCTCTCTGATCCAGAACCCTAAAACTCTCTCCTTTTCTATCAAACTATTTATCTAGCTATCTCTTGGCCTCCATAGCAACTGAGTGAAGTGCTACAGTTGTGGAAGCCTTCCACAAAATAGATACGCTGCTAATGTTGCTCTATTATGACTTGGTCCATGATGATATCCTTGGCAGGGACACCCCTAAACTCAGTTGGAGGAAGGGCCCATTAGATGATGATATCTCTAATGTCTTCACTCAGATCAGATTGTTTGTCTTACGACCCTGGAAGATCCTTTCATTCCACTCTTTAACTTGCATCATGGAATCTTCTTCCATTTTTTTTTTGTTGCTGAGGCGCTGCCGCCTCAATCTCCTTATTGTTCGCTGCCTGAGATTTCAAGGGCTGGAATCGGGAGCCCTATTGAGTCGTATCACGTTCAACTCATTGCCATCTCTTCTCCGGGGCCTTCGATCTTCCTCTACCCTTTCTTTCTATCCTCACAAATCCCTCATTGTACATCGCCCCCGGAGGCAAAGCTGCCATGGTAGACACTGTTTCCAGCAAAGTAGCAGAGGTACCACCGAAGTGGTAAAACCCAATAGAGACCCCATAGGTTTCTATAATGCTGCCAATTTCTGAATATATCCATTCTATTTTTTTTATTTCGAAAAATAGCAAATGATTGTGGAAATTTGTCACCCTTGAGATTTATTTTCCCCACCTGATTGACTTCATTAGTAGCTAAAACAGTTCAGGGAAAGTCCTTTCTAAGATTTAAGTTAAATGGAATCCAGAAAAATGATTCCATAAGTACCTCCACAGAATAATACATTGTCTATTTTCTAAAGTAGTTTTACTCCTACAAATAATCAATTGAAGTTTCTCAATCCTTGCTCTAATTTAAAAACTCTTCGATTAGTTTTTCAATTTCCAAATCATGAAGCATGATCCTAAATTCCCAATTTTTTATTTTGATTTATTTTCCACAGTCCCTTGTCTGTTAAGCTCTTTTGTGACAACAAATTTCCTGCACCCATTTAATTAAACTATAGATGTACCTTTGAACCTTCCCACTCTGATGATATCCCTAGGACATGCAGTTTCGGAAACTGTATTGGCCTATTGGGCTGCATCAGTAAGCTCCTATAAAACGTCTGAATAGCTGAGGTAGTTATGCGGTGGTTTCTGACAGATTTAAGTTACCTCTGTTTCCAGTTGACCTGCCCTGGTGGCTGGGTTGTTTGAGTTTCAGGGCTGTGTCTGTTTGTCTGACTGACTGAAGATATTGTTGAGATTCGTATTCATCTCAAGATTTTATATTTTCTTTAGAAAGTACTATTTGTATTAAAAGTCAAAACTCTAGCTCAGAAAGAAGTGTGGCAGCCCATATACTTGGTACTCTGTACAAAGTGAGAGAAAGGCCTTTTCCCCCCCATAAGGATTTTATACATCTCAAAATATACTGTGCAGGCTGGGGCAAAAGCTCAAAAAGGTTTCAAAAGGTTCCCTGGAGTGTTTTTCTGAGAGTGCACCGTCCTTCGTGATGCCATCAACTTCCAAATTTGTCTTGTGCCACATGTCACCAAATGATTTACGATTTCATATTGATAATGCCTATTACATATGACTTTTAGTAACTGTTAGAAATTATTGATTATTTTTGTACTGCTATTAATATTTATGTATCTTCAGTTCAAACATTGTTTCTCTTAAAATGATCTATCTCCATTTGTTTTCAAGCAGTGTGGTTATTTTTCCTTTGCTTCATTTATATTTAGTTCTGTGTTTTGTCCAAGTCAAATTATGGCGCTTCACCTTGATGGAATCTGCATTTCTGATAATTAATTTTTTTTACTTCCGACTATTGAATTCAAAAATGGTTTTTTCTTCCTCCGAGGGAATGGATTCTTACGAGTGTGTTATTCTCATTGACTTATGATTTGCAGCTCAAAAAAGTGTGCATATCTGATGGATTTGTGAAGAATTAGAATTACTAGCACAAAAGTTAAATTTACAATAGCCTATTTTTAAGGTTCAAAATCCATTTGTTTTTCAGATTGGTGCGGCCTTCAAAAATTTTAGGTCCAAAATCCTTCTATAACATTGTTCTTGGACGGAGACCGTATTTCAATAAGTGCGTTGGTTGATGCACCAAAATCCTTTCCTTTTAGTCTCATGTGTGTAAAACCATAGGTGTGAAACACCATCTAATTTAAGGAATCCAAATTCTTCTATCTATCTCTATTTAAAGTGACCTTCCATGATATCATAGAGGCAGATCAGATGGTCTCCTTGAAGAAATTCCCCTGCATGGAATCTATCTATTATAGGGTATTTTCAGGCTTATTGTATTACCATTGGTTCTATGACATGTACTAGCTGAAGCCGCAGGTTTCAAAAGTTGCTTCCTAACTCCTCGCTTGACATATTATAAATTATCCCCACTCTACGTATCACTCCTTTTTTATGAAAAGATATCAAAGTTTAGTCATTGGAAGTGAACTTCTTTGTTTTTCAAGCTGGAATTAATTTTGAACATCTTTATCTCCACAATAGTCTTTTCATTATTTAATTAGATTAATTTTATATTACACGGAGATATTACATCATCGGGCTGCGCCAATTCGCCTATTCAATTTCTCTAGTAAAATCTAATCTTGGAATACTTTTTTCCAGCCTTCAAAAAAGATAAACATAAATTCCAAAGCAGTTCTTATGTTCTCACAATTAATTGGAGGATCAAATAGAAATTATCCAAAATTGGAATGGTTAAATCCAATAGCTCAAAAATTCAAAATCTGAAATCAGGTCTTAATTTTGGGGCTATTCCCATTTTTTTTTTTTGAAACATAAAAAATCCTCTTAGATATCCCTTTTCCTAAAAATTTTCAGTTACTTTTTTTCGTTAAAATTTAAAATTTGAGATAATTTCTCTCCATAAAATTTTAGGGACAGTTTCTCTCCCTAAAACTTAAAATTTTGAGATTGGTTCTCTCTAAAAATTTAGAGATAGTTTATTTCTAAAAAAATTCGAGTCGTTTCTCTTTGAAAATTTTAAAATTTAAGATACTTTCTCGCTCTAAATTTTTTGAGGTATTTGTCACTCTAAAATTTGATCTAAAATTTTAAGATATTTTATCTCTAAAACTTAAAATTGAAAATAATTTCTCTCTGCAAAACTTTTAAGATACTTTTATTTTCTAAAAAGTTTTAGGTACTTTCTCTTTCTAAAATTGGATGTAGTTTCTCCTTTTTAAATTTTAAGATACTTATTCTATCCAAAACTCAAAATTTGAGATAGTTTCTCTCTCTAAATCAAGGGGTCTTTTGGTGAATTAATTGTATTTTATAAAGTGGAGTCTCTATTGAGAGAAAATCTGGTTAGAAATTAATCTCATCCACATCCTTTTTCACAAATTTTGACATTTTTCGGACAAAAATGACCTTCATGGTATAAAGGCTACCGTAATTCTTTTTTATATTTACGGTAATTTAAGTACCGTTATGATTTCACGGTATTTTAAATACCATGATAAGATGAATTTATATTACAGTACTTAGAGTACCGTAATGTCAAAAATTTACATTACGGTATTCTTAATACCGTAATTACTGCAAGGTTGCTTGAAGAACATTGAGGAGACGGTTGCTTGAAGAAGCCATGAACAATATACCACAGCCGGGGTCTGGAAGGGTTATGCATATGGTTAAGGCCTTTGAGAGGTTGCTCTCAAATTCACGAGAAGAGAGAGGAATGGAGAAAAACGATGGATGGGAAGAGGGTTCGAAAGTCAAGAATTAGGCATTACCAAGCTTGCAACCACCAGTTGTTGAGCCCACATTTAATTCTCACTCTTCATTTTCTCTCTCATCTTCATGTTCTGGGTTTCCAGTTCAAAAGTCTCAGATGGGGAGTTTTATTTTTCGATTGCAACCAGTGATTGCAGGTTAGTCTCAATGCATGGATCTCTTTTTTATCATTTACAATTTACAATTTTTTTTTGCCTATAAAATTGTTGTTTTGGTATAATCGAAATTTGAATTCCATTTTATATGCTCTTTTTTTTCTTTTTTTTTAAAGGTTCCGATGGTTGTGGGGCCACTAGAATAAAAAATAGCACTAATGGATGTAAAATTATGCTTGTGGCTATCTGTTTCTATGGAGATTATATGATCAAATTTTATCTCTTTTTCCTGTGTTTTTTTTGTTTTTTTCTGCAATTTTTGAGATGCTTGTCTGATTGGTGTTTTAATGCCTAGTGGTAATTGATATTTGTTTTCAAATAATTTTTAGCTTGACTCCGGTTTTGCTTTTGATCTATGGAAATAATCCTCACCATTTAATTCATTGAATTTCTTTTGTTGGGCTAAAGTCGGGAGAGCAGGACTCGAGGAGGAGGGTGAAGATCGCAAAAATGTAAATCTCTCTCTCTAGCAAAAATGGAAATCTTTATATTACGGTACTACGAATACCGTAATTCATTGTAAAAACAATATAGTAATTAAATTACCGTACAAATTTTCCTTATTAATACGGTATATATATTACTGCGGAAACGTGACTAAACATTACGGTATTTAAATTACCATAATATTTTTTACGGTAAAAAGACTACCGTAAAGGGTAGTTTCATTCAAAAATTATCAAAATTTGTGAAAAATGGTGTGGATGAGGTTTCGGGAAATTGGGGTTTTTTTTTCAATTTTTTTAAAATATAGGTATATTAACGATAATTTCCCTAAAATCTAATCTTGGAATACTTTTTTCCAGCCTTCAAAAAAGAAAAACATAAATTCCAAAGCACTTCTTATGTGCTCACAAATAACATTGGAGGATTAAATAGAAATTATCCAAAATTGGAATGGTCAAATCCAATAGCTCAAAAATTCAAAATCTTAAATCATGTCTTAATTCTGGGGTTATTCCCAATTTTTTTGACACATTTCTAAAAAATTTCAATTACTTTCTCTCGTTAAAACTTAAAATTTTAGATAAATTCTCTCCTTAAAATTTTACGGATAGTACCTCTCCCTAAAACTTAAAATTTGAGATAGTTTATCTCTAAAAATTTTGAGATAGTTTATCTCTAAAAATTTTGAGATAATTTATTTCTAAAAATTTTCTAGTAGCTTTTTTTTGGAAAATTTAAAATTTAAAATACTTTCTCTCTCTAAAATTGGATGTAATTTCTCTTTTTAAAGTTTTAAGATATTTTTTCTATTTAAAAATTAAAATTTGCCATAGTTTTTCTCTCTAAACGCCTTTTGGTGAATTAATTGTATTTTATAAAGTGGAGTCTCTATAGGGAGAAAATCTGACTGGAATATAGAAAACCTGGCTGGAAATCAATTCTGTGGATAAAAAGAAGAATACAGATTTCTTTATTTTTGAACACGTCGAGTGCATAGAATACGCGATATCCAAGTCTTTGCCTTTCAAAATCAACCGCATAAAGCCGTAAAGGGCTTTTTTTTTTGTGGTGGTGTGAGCATTATTAAGGTAATGAAAATAGTACAAAACAAAAAGAAAAATAACCACAAACAAAAAAAGAAACAAAAGGGAGAGAAGAAGGGGCATTCAAGACAACCTTGCTGACCAAGAAATCTGCCTCAGAGTTGAAATCTCGAACGACATGATGGAAGATAATCTCGACATCCCTTAGCATAAGCAAAGAAGCATAAGCGTTATGAAAACAAAATAAAGCATCACCTCCAATCCTCGGTCTGAAAGCACTTTTGGCAACCAAAATATGTATGATGGCCTTAAAATTAATTTCATTGAAATTTAAAAATAAAAAAATAGTACATATCTTATAGATATATGAAAACATATTTTTAAGGATGAAATGGGCGATCTAATTACTTTATTATGTAATATACAATATTTTAAAGCTTGAAATCTTTTTTTCCTACAAATATAATATTCAAGTCAAGACGATAAATGAAGAAAAATTTAGAGCTTTGATCACAATTTTCGATGAGTTATAAGGCGAGATTTTATTTATTTTGAGAGAGCTACATCCTTGTCAAACCATTTTCCAAAATTGAAAACATGGGAGAGATGGATCACTGATTAAGTAAAGAACATGAGGAGAGAGAACACTTACTAATAAGTTAACAACATGAAAACATGGGAAAGAGAGCAACCGATATATCTCTGAAGAGAAACTCGTATCGGTGAAATGGATACGGCTCAAATATTTATAAACTAATACCTCAATTTTATTAATTGATTTTGAAGATAAGTTATTTGGTTTGGTTGTTGAAATGAAAAGCAATCCACAAAAAACAAGGAGGAAGAAACAAATACAAAAGAAAGAAACAATCAATCACAATGCAAAGATATTTGTGGTTCGGCAACGTAATAGGGTTATAATAACTCTATGCTTTACGCCTGTCTGTTCTTTCTAATTACAAGAAAAATTGCATTTTTTCTTTAACTTTAAGAAGAACCTCATCGTTATAATATATAAAGTTTCGTATAAATTATTAAAATATAATCATGTACGAATATATATTGAGCCTCAGATAGATGGTAAAAATTATCGAAATATCCTTGTACAGATATATATTGAATCTCACATATATCAAATCCAATATATGGATAGCCGAAATCTTTTTCGGGTTCTACTGCCTTCGAACCGCACAAGGACCAAGTCAACCATATCTACTTGGCCAAAAACTCCTCCAAGCTTCAAGCCTTTCGGGCTTTAAACGGCCCTTCGGGAGAATACAAGACATCAATCCTATCTATATTTATTCTTAAGAACTATTTCAGTAAAAAGTAATAGGGACAGGTTTCTATGTTTCTCTTACAATATAGAAGTTTTATTCTCCCGCTACCATCCAACCGTCCAATTTTGATTAAGGAAGTCGTTCACTGTTTGATCTTAGATCTGACGTCTCAAAGTATTTTATTTTTAGTTTTTTTTATGCAAATTGTATGAATATGAAATTTGGTATGTGTCATCTTCTCTCATTGGGGCGTACCTATAAAAAAAATGTTAAAAATGATTTTTTTTATAAAATATAATGACAAAAATACCCCTTGAAATTTTCAGGGGTATTTTGGTTATTTTATTGAAAATATTTTTTTATATATTTTTCGCTAGTGAGAGTTTAATAGAGGAATAGACGTCCAAAATTTGGCGTCAAAATAGTTTATAGAAAAATGAATCAAAATCGAACCCGTAACTCACATGTTCTTTTTTGCATTACATAGCGGTTCAAAACGCCTATTTTTTATACAATAATGCCCAATATTTCATAAATCGATCAGATTAGCCATAAACCACCCCGTTAGAATTTTGAGCGAGTGTCAAGGGAAAGATATCATTTGAGAGTCCTAATACCTTGTAAATAATATAATGAAAAAAGTTTATATCTGAATAAGGTCATGGAAGAGAGGGAGAGAGAAGCCCGCACATGTGTAGGAGATGGAAGCTCATGTAAGGGACATTCATTTTACGGGTGAGGTTTGTATAAGGCACACATTTTACATGTACCTCTAAATTTTGCCAGAATATGAAGTTATGGTATTGGAGGCTCTATGACGGTTACAAAATCCATGCTAAACCCAAATTACGAATTTTAAGATCTTAAAAATAGAGCATATCGACCTATAAACATATAAAAAAAATTGAAAGTAGATAGTTCAGATAATTTGTTATAAGATGCACTATTTTAGGACTTCAAATTCTATTTTTCTTTATATCTATAGATTTCGATATTAAGATGATATATACTCTGGATTACTCTTTTCTATTAGATTTTTGAGGTGCATTGTACTTTATTAGTATAAGGTTTCAATCTAATATAAACATTTTCTTTATTTAATTAACAGGGTTCTAGGATAAATAGACTGACTTGACATATCGACATGCTTTGACTGTTCTAATGATGAACATTTTTTTTTTTTTAAAGAACAATAGCAGAAGGGTGCGGTTTATATCGAGCCAATGCTCTAAACAATCAAAATAAAGCGCACATTCAGATAATGTTAAGTAATGTGGTTTCGATAATAGAAATCGTTGTGATAGTTTTAAAAAAAAAAATTATCTTTAAATATGAAATTTAAAGCTTCAAAAATAGTGTAGATCGAGCATATCTATAAAAACTTGAAAATTGACCGACCAAAAATGCATTACAAGGTGTATTATTTCGAAAACTTGAAATCTATTTTTTTTCGTGTCCGTACATCTTGATGTTGAGATGATCAATTTGGGGATATTTAGGCATCAAAAAACCACCTCTTTTAAGGAAATATTGGAGGTAGGCTCTAATTTGATCGTTAGGGCTACGTATAAACTTTTTTCATAATAGAACGTACGAGTAGATTTCATACTCGTGTAGGAATATACTATTCATTTGCTCCCTCACACAAAACTATGAATGTTTCTTGGATCCCAAAATTCGGAGATGTAACCTGTAAAATCCAATGACGAACTTTAAAGAAGAAGAATGAATTCGCACTCTATATGTGCCTAAAAATAATAATGTCCTAATAGTGAACAAGAACCATCTAATATTTGAAGGGAACGATCTCTGTGATAAAGAAAAGTTTCAAATAAAAAGTTAAGGAATCGATCTTGTGAGACCCTCCCACACCCATACGTGCAGGATCTCAAAAAATCACCATTAAATTTGATATGAATTTTTAAAAACATTAAACCTCATAGCTTTCTTGAAAATTTACATCAAATTTAATGATAATCCTTTAAAATTGGGTGGGAAAGGATCGGTACTAAAAAAAATTATGACTTGTACTTATTAGCCCTTTTGTATTTTTGGGTGAGGCAGTAGGACCCTACCGCGTTCCTCTCACGAAAGCTCCTTGAACTCGCACGCCTGCTTAGGGAGAGAAAGTGAGTTTGTAGAGAGAGAAAGTCGGAACTGGTGCCCAAAGCTGCTAGACACTGTAAAATAGAAGAAAGCACTTTTGTAAGCCTTGCCTCACCAGTTAGAGATATAGAGAGAGAGATAACCCAAATCACCAGCTAGAGTGCGTGAGAGAGAGAACCAATATCAAGTCCGATGGCAGTTTTCCTGAACTTGTGTGATGAAGACACAAGAAAGTGCTTCACAGCCCTTCTCAACAAAGCTCTCATTGATTCCTGTATCTCCACCACCTTCTTTTCACCCGCACAACAACAACCCAGTATTGTACAGGAAGCTATTAAAGAATGTGCGGTGTTTATAGCCGTCTTTTCAGTGAACTATGCATCCTCTTTCTCCTGTCTTCACCAGCTTTGTTATTTACTGAGTTTGCCAAGGAGGAGAACTATCCTTCCTGTGTTTTATGATGTCGATCCTTCTCATGTACGCTGGCAAAAGGGACGGGAGCATTTATGAATCACAAAAACTAAGAATGAGATCGATGAGGGGAAAGAAGTTGCCGATCTCTCTGGTTGGATTATGAAGGATTACAGTTATAAGCAAATAACTTGGATTTCTTTAAAAATAAACAAAATAGATCTCTCTCTGATGTTGCCATCAAAAACTCCATAGAAAGTAAGTATAAAGTGTAGATCCACTTGTACTACTATTTTCATGTGAATGAAATACTTCTTTGTACTTAAAATATATCATTATTATTAGCTAGGCCATTTTCTTTGGGTCTGTTGCATCTCTAATATTTTGTTTATCTACTTCTGAAAAGAACCTGCTCAAAAACAAAAATTTCTTGCAATTCCCTAACGAGGAAAGATAGTAGTTATATATATAATATGTCAACTTTGCTGCAAAAATATTTAAATTGCTTTCTTAGTTTTGGTAACCATCCCCCCGCCCCCCTTTTTCTTCCTAAGTGGGAAAAAAAAAGTACCAAAAAAGAGGCACGTAAGAGTGGAAAAATAACTGATACGCCGCTTTATGTGAGGGAAATGACCACCCACTCACATTCATGTACATAGGATTTCAAAGGATCATCTTTAAATTTGATATAAATATCTAAAAAAATAAAGTCTACATATATCATATGATAATTTTTTTAGAGATGTATGCCAAATTTAATGGTGATCATTTGTGGTCTTACACATATTGAGTGTGGGAGGGTCTCATAGGATTATTACTGTAATTATATTTGTGATAATCATACATATTGTATTTTTTATTGTTATTTTATTTTTTTTAACTTGGCTTGGTCTCGGCCCAAGTTGAGTCCCAAAATACTACTTTTCTTTATGATTACTGATCAGACACCTTAATGACTGTTTCAAAAATCTTCACCATTTCAATGATATCTTTTTCCCTGTTTTCTAGAGAAGAGTATTTGCTTAGGCACCTCTTTTGTTTTTCTACTAAAGATTTTTTTTTTCTTCTTCTTTTAAATAAAGGAAAATTGTTTCACGCGAGTTGAACCGCATTTATGCGGTGCAAAGGTATAAAGCATCCATCTTAAAGATGGATGCAAATAGGTGGTCCATCTAAAAACAAGTGTAACTAATGGTGTAAATGTTTACTTAATATAATTATTATTTCTAGTTTTCAATTTATTTATTTTTTGGTGCAGTTTGTATAGAACCTAGGCTTTAAACAATCAAATTAGAGCCTACCTTCAAATAGTATCGAGAAATGTGGTTTCAATGCTGGAACTCTTTGTGGTAGCTTTAAAATATATTTTCATCTTGATTTATAAAGTTTAAAGCTTCAAAAATAGTGTATACTAGTAGATCTATAAAAATTTTAAAATCTTGAAAATTGACTGTCCAAAAATGTGTTATAGAACACCCTATTTCAAAACTTGAAATTTATTTATTTTCATGTCTATGCATCTTAATGTCGAGATGATCAATTTGAGAATATTTGGGCATCAAAACAACTGCTTCTAGTGAAATTTTTGAGGTAGGCTCAAATTTGATTGTTTAGAGCCTCCATATATACTTTTCCTTTTCTTTTTTCATATTAATGATATCCTTATTAAAGATTATATATTCTGTAAAAATTAGGATCAAATTATATTGGGTGTGGTTTGTATAAGCAAAGGCTCTAAACAATTAAAGTAAAGCGCACCTTCAAATAGTGCCGAGAAATGTGGTTTCAATATTGGAAATCTTTGTGGTAGCCTTAAAATATATTTTTATTATTTAAATATAACATTTAAAGCTTCAAAAATAGTGTAGATCGAGTAGAACTATGAAAACTAGAAAATCTTGAAAATTGACGGTCCAAAAATGCGTTACAATATGCACTATTTCCAAAACTTGAAATCTATTTTTTTTCTCATGTACATATATCTTGATGTCGAGATAATCAATTTGAGGATATTTGGGCATCAAAACAACCTTTTCTAGTGAAATTTTTGAGGTGGGCTCTAATTTGATTGTTTAAAGCCCGCATATGTAGAAATGTGGGCATCTTAATAAATTTATTTCTTAGATGGATTTTAAGACTTCACTTTTAAGGACGTGTAATCTCAGACATGGAGATAATGAATATGAAAAAAGAAATTTCTAAAACCTAGAAATAATAATTCTAATAAGAAAATATTTGGACCTTTAGTTTCCATTGTTTTTAAATGGAACACCTACTTGCATCCATCTTTTTTTTTTTTTGGTAAGTCAGTGGGGGAGAAGGCCCCTCTACCTGTTTTTCATTAATAAGTAAGAAATAGAAATTTTACAGCTCATTACCATATAACCCTAGAACAGGGCACCTGTGCCAAATCATGAGTTAAAGCAAGGCAAATAAAATCCAATGGACGAGAACACCAAATAGTTGCTCCTTGATAAGCCGTAGCCCTCTTTGCAAGAATATCTGCCATCATATTGGCTTCACGAAAAATATGGGAAATGGACCACCCACACTTAGAGAGACATTGTCGATAATTTACTGCCACTGTATGTAACTTCCATGGAGGTCGGAAGCGTTCATGAATAACATTAACAAGCAATGCTAAGTCACTTTCAATCTGAATAGGGTAGCATTGTAGCTGATAAGCTGGGATTAATCCTTCTTCAAGAGCGCAAAATTCTACATAACTATTAAAAGCGATTCCAAAAGGTTTGGCAAATGCTGCAATAAAAGCACCATCTGAATTCCTAATAACATCACCCCCCTGCTTGGCATGGGTTATTCAATGAAACCCCATCAATGTTTATCTTGAAGTGATTAGGGCTAGGAAATGATCATACTACTAGAATAGTAATTTTATCCCTTTGTTGATACTATTTGAATTGTAAGTTATCAATTATCGCCTTTTCTGATAAACGAAATGTCTAGGATTTAGCATCAACTAACTCTTGAACATAAGAAATGATTTGTCTAACTAATTGTTCCCTTCTGGTCAACGTATCCTGAAAAACTCTCCGGTTGCATTCTACCCATAAAAACCATATAGTTACAAAGAATAAAGAAGTCAATATATTGAAGAAACCATTTAATTTGAATTTAAATGATAATCATTTTCTCAACATCATAGGTATAGAAATACCAAAGATGAAGCGCTTACCGCATCGTCTGGCAACCAACCTCCATATAACATGCGAAAAGTCACAAATAAATAATAGATGACATGAACTATCATCACTATTTTTGCAAAAAGGGCATACACTGACCTACTTACATCTATCTTTAAGATAGATGCTTTACACTTTCTGGACCACATTTGTAGAAATACAGTCCAACCCGCATGAAACAATTTTCTTTTACCATTGGTATAGGGACATCTGATGTGAAATTTGATAGCTTGGGTTTGTCACAAAGTTTGAGAATTTTTGTTTTTGAACGTTGAGCCTGATCGATGAAATAAATGCAACCACCCAATTTCACATCCAATAGTCAAAATTAATTGTGACCACTTTGTACTAAAGATAAATGGTCTCGTTCTATAATTTCCCTATAAGTAATGATCTTATACGACCCTCACACATATTGAGTTCATGGGACCCCAATAATTGACTGTTGGATCTCACTTGCTTTGAGATTCGGATGAAGATGAGAATGTCTTACCAACGTTAGCCGGTAAAAATACCCCAGGAACATTTCTTGAACTGACCAATGTTAGCCAGTAAAAATACCCTAGTAACATTTCTCCAACTCATTTACCTTTTTTGATACCGTTTCTCTCTATCCTTCTATGTACTCCCTCCTATGTCTTCTCTCTCCGGTAGCCTAAACCTCTTCTTTCTTTATCTGCTTTCCTTTCCCTTAATTTTTCTACTGCCTTCCATTTTCTCTATCTCACTACCCTCCCCCACATAACTTCTCTCCCTATCTTTCTTTTCTCTCTCTCCTATTCTCTCCCTCCAACAAGTAATCTATTATTATTTCCCTCATTTTTATCTGATCCTCATTAGAAGGAGAGAGAGAGATTCAATGGGCTGAAGATTAAGGGGTTTTCGGATCTCCAATCTTCAGGCTGGTGTGTGGAGAGAGAGAGAGGTTGATTCAATGGGCTGAAGATTAAGGGGTTTCCAAATCCCCAAGCCTAAGGCTGGTGTGTGTTGAGAGAGAAGAAGAGAGACCAATTGATGCGAAGGGCTAAGGATTGGTGGCCTTCAAATCCCAAAATCCTTATGTTAGTCTGTAGAGTGTGTTAGGATCTAACCAATACACTCCAAAACCCTTCGATGATGGAAACGTGGAAAGTTAGGCCCTTAAACTATGTAGGATTGTTACATACTATCATGCTCCGCAATCGATGTCCTTGGCGGTTCTCACTCTATGGTGGCTCTCACTTTGTTCAGGTAGCCCTTTCTATAGGTAGCCCTTTCTTAGGATCGACATCTTCGGAGACTCTCACTCTATGGTGGCTCTTACTCTATGGCAGCTCTCATTTTGATTTTATTCAGGTCACCCTTTCCATAGGAAGCCCTCTCTACAGGTAGCTTTTTCTTAGGATTTGAACCTACGTCGCAGTGGTTGCTTTGATACCAAATGTTAGGTTCCTAAGTAATATGCCCCAAATTGGGTGATGGAAATGCAGAAAGTTAAACCCCTAAACCACTAGGATCGTTACAGAGTGAGAGACTTAAGTGAGAGATTGATTCAATAAGGGGTTCAGGGGCTTCCATTCCCCTAATCCTACCATTGGTGGAGAGAGACAAAGTAAGGAAAAAGATGTACATGATGGGTAAAAATAAAGATTGAGTGAGAGAGAAGGCAACTGAAAGGGAGAAATTTAATCACAAATGAGTAGGTTTAGAGAGAGAGAGAGAGAGAGAAATGGCAGTTGAAGCGAAAATGTGGGAAGATGAAGAGAGAGAGGAGATGAAAACTTGTAAAAAGAGAAGGGCTTATCCATGTTTTACCGCCAAACTGCTTACCTCTTCTCAACCTGGGTGAAATCTAAAGCCTCGATTATCGTTAAAACCATATATCTGATTAAAGCCCATCTCTCTCTCCAAGTTGATGCCTTCTTTCTCTTTTTAAACCTCTTCTCAACCTGGGTGAAATCTAAAGCCCCGATTATCGTTGAGACCATATATCTGATTAAAAGCCCATCTCTCTCTCCAAGTTGATGCCTTCTTTCTCTTTTTAAAGACCAAACCATTTTCTCTCAGCAACAACTGCCATATGAAATCAAGAAAGTCATAGGGCCTTGGCGGTAGTATTGCCAATGCCCCATGATGAGATCTCTGACTTCATTCTCACCAAAGGGTAGGGGCCCAAATCCCCACTGACTTACCACTTTTCTGATAATGGCATGGGCTCTTGGCAGTAGTATTGCTAAGCCCCATAGTGAGGTCTCCAACTCTATTCTCACCAAAGGGTATGGACCCAAATCCCACTATCTTACCACTTACTCACCCAAAAAAAAATGATGTATGAATAATAGAAATTGGTTTACATGAAAGAAAAGGTAACCTATTTAACAGGCCACTCCACACATATCTCGAGAACCTACACGATCTAATGGCAATTACATGGGGTCTTATGAAGCTATGGTGTGTCAAGGTCGCACAACCATC